CTTATAACTTTCACCAAACGAGTTGCATTCATCGGCTGTTGTTTGCATTTGTCGACTACCATCTCAATGATAGATGACCTTTATATATCTGAAGATAATGTGGGTTCGACAAGGTCATTGTATTTCTTAATGGGTTGTAAACTTTGCTTTCGTATAAGATCAATGGCATGTGCTTTCTTACTATTTACTACTTCAAGTTACATCGATGTAGATAAAAAAAGGGGGGTTTATGTTATAACATTTGTTACAATTATCATAATAATAAGAAAAAGTAAACCTTTAACCTGTTTATCAACATTAAATCTATGTAATGGTTCTTCGTCAACCTATAGAGTAATGTTGTTATATTCTTTATCTGGATCATTTATGTCTGATATTTTATTCAAATATGTTCTTATTTAATCTAAATAAACTTTTAAAAATATAATTAATGATAATTGAACGATTTCATGTTTATATTTTGGAGTTTCGAAAATGCTCTAAACTGTAATTGAAGTAAAACTGAAAATATAATGTTGAATTATACAGTTAGATGATGGATGATTTGTTTGTGTCAAATCTTTAAAATATTTTCGAAATTTTATGCAAAATTTATTTTAGCGTCATGAAATTAAATTATAGAAATGGAGAACCCAACAAAACAAACAAATCACAAAAAAAAAAAAAAAAAAAAAAAATAAAAATAATTTAAAAAAATTACGCTATACTTAACACTAAATAACGAAAGATATCTGCAACACTTTTATATATGAAAAATAACAACGCCGTTAGTCAAGAAACATTTCCAATGACCATTACTGCAGTATATATCTGTAACCACTATTGAGGAAAGGATACCAACTACTAGACAGTAACATTCTAGGTAAACAATAATGTTTACTGAATTGTAACTAATGGAAAAGTTATTGAATACAACAATGATATTGGGATATGACACGGAATCACTGGATTATTGACATATTTTTCCTGACACCTTCCTTGATATTTTATAATAAGACATGTGATACAGTATAACAAGTGACATCATTTTGAACAATGAATTATCAGAACATTACTTATTATTTCATGCAAATACCAGGTTTTAAAACAATTACACGAGAAAACGGTAGACTGGAGTCGAACTGCACATTTAAAGTAGTTTTTTCAAGTTTTCTAAGGCAAAATATCAGTGATATGAATACATGGAGAACGTCACAGCACACGCATTTTTCGTCGTGTAGAAAAATTACCTATGTCTACTTGTCGATAACTCTTAATGTTTCTCCAGTCATACATCTCTAGGGTGGTCCTTTTGACGGGTTAGGAAACAGGGATGTAGTTACTAAAGTAACGGGACATAAATTAACACTGTAACCACTGTTACGGCGAACGATTTGAGCACAAATTTGTATTTTCTGATATTTAAGTAAGATTATCACCCTCCAAAGACAACTTCTGTCTGCAAGAAAATGATACTATAATAATGTTTTGCCACTTTGTCACGACTGCAGACTTTTCACGGGTAAAAATCAATATAACACTATGAATTAGTGACACATCTCGTCTATCTGTTATCATTATAACACTATCAATTTAAGTGTAGTCAACAACAGTGACATGTCTCTTCTGTCTGGTATCATTATAACACTGTTAATTAAAGTGTAGTCAACAACAGTGACATATCTCTTCTGTCTGGTATCATTATAACACTATCAATTTAAGTGTAGTCAACAACAGTGACATGTCTCTTCTGTCTGGTATCATTATAACACTGTCAATTTAAGTGTAGTCAATAACAGTGACATGTCTCTTCTGTCTGGTATCATTATAACACTGTCAATTTAAGTGTAGTCAACAACAGTGACATATCTCTTCTGTCTGGTATCATTATAACACTGTTAATGTGACTGAAGTCAACAACAATGACACATATCTCGTCTGTCTGGTATCATTATAACACTGTCAATTTAAGTGTAGTCAACAACAGTGACATATCTCTTCTGTCTGGTATCATTATAACACTATCAAGTGTGACAACAGTGACATGTCTCTTCTGTCTGGTATCATTATAACACTGTCAATTTTTGTCAACAACAGTGACATATCTCTTCTGTCTGGTATCATTATAACACTGTCAATTTAAGTGTAGTCAATAACAGTGACATGTCTCTTCTGTCTGGTATCATTATAACACTGTCAATTTAAGTGTAGTCAATAACAGTGACATGTCTCTTCTGTCTGGTATCATTATAACACTGTCAATTTAAGTGTAGTCAACAACAGTGACATATCTCTTCTGTCTGGTATCATTATAACACTGTTAATGTGACTGAAGTCAACAACAGAGACAGAACTTGTCTGTCTGGTATCATTATAACACTGTCAATTTGACTGTATTCAACAACAATGACACATATCTCGTCTGTCTGATATCATTATAACACTGTCAATTTGACTGTATTCAACAACAATGACACATATCTCGTCTGACTGATTTCATTATAACACTGTTAATGTGACTGAAGTGATATCATTATAACACTGTCAATTTGACTGTATTCAACAACAATGACACATACACATATCATTATAACACTGTCGATTTGACTGAATTTCTGATATCATTATAACACTGTCAATTTGACTGTATTCAACAACAATGACACATACCTCGCCTGACTGATATCATTATAACACTGTCGATTTGACTGTAGTCAACAACAGAGACAGAACTTGTCTGTCTGGTATCATTATAACACTGTCAAGTCATTTATATTCAACAACAGTGACAATATTATACTCTCAATCAAACTAGTCCACAGCAGTGACGGCACTCATCTGGATTCCAAAAGAACAATATTAATTTGACTCTTGGTTATAAAGATATCAGTATACTTTTTCCAAATACATTTATACCAAGCTATCAATATCTAAGGTATGTAAGGCGGAATGTTTAGCAGTTCATTGGTTCCGCTATCATTTTTATCTTGCTGTCTTACTAGTTACTGTTTCCATATTAACAATATCACTGAAGATGACATAGGTTACATTAAGGGATTTCTGTCGTCGATATAAAAATGTCTAATAAAACGAATGGTGCAAATTCCGTCTGAGCAAAGGCAAGACACTGACTTATGTTACAAAGGTCGCCCGAAAATGACAAGAGATATTCCTTATTCCTTTCCTAGCTGTAAATATTATTGGTGTTGTGCATCACCCTAATCAATTCATAGCAGCTGTCATCATATGTAAATCCCTGATTTCATATTTTTTACTCCGGTTTTCGTCTGTCACCTCATGGATGTCAAGATATAGGTCTTTAGCATAACGACGAGTCCTTGAAGGAAGAAACACCTGTATGATTCAGTTTACTTCATTATTTGATTATACTTAATTTTATTTGTACTGAAAGGTAAAATTCACTTACTTCCAATACAGATTTTTTTCAAATTAGTGTTAAGTATATATGTTTTGCGGGTCCATGTCACTATTTTAATGAATATAACAATTTCAGTATAATTTGTCGCTTAATAATGTTATATACGTGTGTATTATTCCCCTGTGGTATTATGATGGTGTAGCTTATGCTGTTTCGATTACTAGTTAGATATCTCTAGAACGTATGGTGTTATTAAGGAGTAATAAAATCACCGCTTTAATAACACAAACGATAAGGCATGAAATAAAAGCAAGAGACTGTCGCATATTTTAAAATTTTAATTAAAATACCTTTAAAATAGAGAACATTTTTTACTCACAATCGGAAATGTACATATACAATGCAGTTATTTCCGTGTAAAACAATACTATCGAGGTGTTTTATAACCAAACGTGTTTTGTTTTTCCTTTCAGGGATTTTTTTTTACAAAATAAATTATGCACATCTACTCTTTTATTGAAAGTGGATAGATAATATATGCTTGTGTACATATATATGGATATGTATTACTGGATGTCAAAGTAATGAATATAACAAAGCTGTATTGGAAATTTACAAAGAGAAAAAAAATATATAAACATATTTTTTAAAAGACTTTAAGTATCAAGTCATCGTGACATAAGCAGAAAGACTTCAGCGTGCCTGTCTCGCATACTTTAGATCAGTTGATTTCATAGCTAACCATGACACATTCCAGTAAATGGAATATTTGAAGTCTACTGAACACGCTCGATCTGTTAAAGATAACAACACGCGGCCGTCCAGTATATCACAGCACTGGAGCAGTCAACAACCAGTCTCATCAGCTATAATGACATGGTGCAGTTTCCGGGTGTATGAAATAGGCTGACATATAAGCTGATACCCCACTGACTAACCCTGCCCTGGGGTTCTCTTTAACAAAGATGTATTCTTTAAATCCGATCAGATAAATAACATTCGGAATGTTGATATCGCGCTTTGAGAGATGATATGAAATAATAGCGTGTTCACGTGTGTGTGTTTGTATGTGTGTTTTGATTATATGTGATTGTACATATGTAAAAAAATATGCAAAATAAACCTGCTAGTTTGCAGAAAAATCAGCTATATATGAAGCTACGTTACCTGTATTACCGCTGAGCATTTGCCTCAGTGCTTACGATGTTATCAACAGTGGGAGATTAATGTTGTCTTATATCACTAGTATCTGTAATATCTGACTGCATATATATCTATATACGTACACAGAGCAAGGCAATGCTGTAAAATGTATGTAGACATTTCGACTTTTTTTCTATACGTCCGGTCATAACCAACTTAACATGCCACTCAGTATATTCAAATAATTGGCTTAAACAAAGTTATCTTCCGATATCTAATTTGTCATATCGATCTGTAGCTATGATAAGAGCTCTGTTTTACACCTCGGTGTCCTTACATTGCTTACACGGTCGCTCTAAACTACACCTTGATTTGTTGGAAAGCGACACATTTACCACAACCTGTGATTGGCTAGCTATATTCCTCTTAAGCGCTGGGCCCATAATTTAACAGTCCATTTCTTCTGGTTGTTTCATTCAATTAGGTATCGAGCAACATCATGCTGTCTACCGTGCTCTGTGTGATTGCGTTGGCTCTCCTCGTTGCATTTTACAGGTAAACTATTTTATTACTACTCTTTCGATTAAATGTTAGGTAGCATGGTATCCGACATAGACAGCCAGCTTCGAGGATCAACACGTGCTACCTTCAGTCCGGGAGTTAACGTTTACACTTGTTAACATTAAAGGACCATCCATGCGCTCGACTTCCATTACACGTGTTTAACAATTACAAAATAGAGTTTCAGCTGTACAGCACGACAGGTGGTATTTCTTAAGAATGTTATTCAAATTTCTTAACTTCAGTATAACCTATATATATTTATCACTGAGGATAATTATGGAGCGAAATGAAATCGTCAGCTTATCTGTCATTTGTCTGTTTACTTATTTGTTTTTGTTTTTATTTTAGTTGATTGATTAACCTTCGTATTTTTTGCGTAGCCGGTGTATTGTTTTAGTATTAATAAATTAACTCATTTTGCAGGCAACGAAGAGAGAAAATGCAAGTGTTTGGTCGGATGGGGATTCCCGGCCCAAGACCACATTTCTTATTTGGAAATCTACTTTCCTTTTTCCGTAAAGTGAGTATTTTTGTATTTTATTCAAGCTTAATTATATGTATTAGTAGCTTTCTGTGTTGATAAAGAAATAGGACATTTATTTGACAATGCATGATATAACCCTACATGTATACATTGTTATGTATATTCATTATATGTCAGACAGCGGAAGAAATGACGTAAACAAGATATATCAGGTCCTGAGATGATCAACGACTCTTATTAACGTTGCAGAATTCGTTCTTACTATGTTATATGACCTTGTGATTATCATCATGAGGTTGACATTTTTCAAAGTGGAAACTGTCAAGCCCTGGGCACAAAAGCATGCTTAATGAAAACACTGAGTGACGGCACCCCAGCACTATCATTGCCCAATAATGATAATAAAACATGACGACTGTCATGTCTAACTAATCACATATTGAAACAATATATATGTAAACCTTATTTAAAAAGCAGGGATATCATTACCTCGACATCATTATTTTGATTATAGCTGAATGGTTATCTTGTAGATTGATAAAATATATATTTAATTCACTTTCTCCTGTAGTAGAATATTATAAATAATCCCTGTCTTGGAATCCTAATATGATTATGTCTCTAATACATTTATTTATTTCATCAATTTTACTACATTTATGAAACATCAAAAAGTAATGTAAACTTTGCAATGGAATATGCCTCTACCTACATATATCTATATGTGAACCCCTTTAAAGTAGCTGAAATATCAAGAGGTAAACTGTCGGGGATGTGTTTTATATCTCTTCATCACTGAAGCTTCAGTTCAGCGTATATCCGATTTTCTGTTCTTTTTGCTGTCCGATATCTTGTTCACCTATGCAGCACATTACTGCGGATAGTATACTTTTTATCAAATATTAACTATATTTTGTGTGGTTGCACAATATGCTTACTTTGGTCCTAACTTTCTTTCAGAGTTTTTATATAAAATACCAAGAATGGTACAGAGAGTATGGGAAAACATTTGGGTAAGTATTTTATGTACAGCTGGTATCAGCTCCATCATATTTTATTTTATAACTTCACCACAACTATTGAGTGTGAAATCGGGACACGAACTATCAAGTTTATATTTTAACTTCGACAAAAATAACGTTATCATTTACCATCAGTTAGGTGACCTCGTTCCTTTTTGTTCGAGAAATTCTTTCCTAATATTAAAAATGTCTTGTTTCTGGTTTTGCAGGTACTTTGAGGGCCCCACTGCGGTTCTGGTGACTACCAATATGGAACTTTTACACGAAGTATTCGTCAAACAGTTTAAGAAATTTCATGCGAGAAAAGTAAGTGAAATGTATAGCACGGTATACTAGCACTTACACGAACTGCCCAATCAATGTACAAAATGTACATACGAAATCCTGCTTCCATAGATGACTATATTAGACTCATTTTCGTTTTTTTTTTTTTGTTCCCACACGTGCATCAGTTTAATCACATGGTCTATTTTCTAATAAAATCTCATTTCGAAACCTGGTTACATATCTTTAAATCGTATAACTTCGCTGACTACCTAAACTCGAATCCGTCATTGTTAACATAAAGCACATCTGAACAAGATCGTCATCTACAATACATCTTTGATGTTTGTCCAGGTTTTTCCAGTTCAGGTAGATCCTGACAGGGATGAAAATGTCCACATGTTCTTTGCTAGAGGCGAGCGATGGCGACGTCTTAGATCCATCATCAATCCAGCCTTCAGTACGACGAAAATGCGTAATGTGAGTACCTTGGTATCATCTGTAGTCGTTTCACTCCTCGCATGATATGTATATAGGATATAAACATGGGCGTTATATTACCTTTCTCGGTGTGACGTCTCGCGCTGTAAGACGAAGCATTTTGTATAGAAACTTCATTCTCTATATGTGTGTAGATTATAATATATTTAAATGATTCGGTGTAATTTTCTTTACAATTTTAAAAGCTTTTCTTTTCCCTTTTTTAACTTCTGAACTGGAGTTCCTAACAAAGAGAATTCTTGTCGTCTATAAAACTATAACGAATAAAGAACTGTATTGAAATAACGTCGCGATGACTTATAGCCTGGTTTCCTCTTTGAACTCATTGTCGTTTTACGAGTAAAAACTATGAAAGATGACAAGACCTATTAATCACATTTACATCACTTTTGTTTGGTGCACATTTACAGATGACGCCGATGATAAACACTCGAATTGATCATCTCATGGCGGTGGTGGATACGTATGGACGAAACGATGACGATTTCGATGTGTATGAGTGAGTGAACTGGATATTCATATTGTTCAAGAAATTCGTAATTTTTCGTTTGATAATTGATATTTTGTCTTGCTGATGACTGTTCTGGTCTGTATGCTAAACAATAAAGCCGTGTTTACGCCATCGCTGTAGCGCTATCACGATCTGTACAATATAGCATTATCTAAATTTAGATATAAAACATAACTATGACTTTTTCAACAACCTTAAATGTCGTAATTAGAATGATTTCACGTCAGTTTTGTAAAATATTGACTCCATAGCAGTGTCGACCGTCAAACAATCAGCCAAACATATGATTTATGCGCGATATGCCGAGTGACAATATTGCCCGATGTATAGGGTGAAACTCTTGTAAATAAACGTGACATTTAACAGCTGCAGTATATGTTGAATTTATTAACGAGATTATATCAATATGTCTAGAACTGAATCAATAGATTTTGATCTATTAATATATCATTTTACAACAATAGTTATTAGATGTTCAAGTAAGTATCATTGCTGTCTTTTACATTAACAGCGTTTTCCAAAGACTAACTATGGATACAATAGCGGAATGTGGACTTGGTCTTGAAAATAGCTCTCTAAAAAATCCAGACGATTGTTGGCTTAAACACTCCAGGAAAGTAATTACGGACACAACGAAACGTCCTTTTCTCTTTCTTCTCGGATGTAAGTGCATCTCTTTAACATAATGTCTAATTAGAAATTAATAAATATATTTACAGAAAGTAATTGAGAATGAGCACATGCTGGAAATGTTCTGGTATACCTTTTACTTGATATGTATCATTATAATTCACAGTTATCATAGTCTCAAACACTGTACCTATTGGCAAAGAGATATTTAGTCATATAACTTAATAACTCAACCAGTCTTATGCTGGTTTAATATGGAAATTTGTTTCTTTCAGTTATTTTCCCTAAGTTCCACGAGTTATGGATCACAATTTACAAGCTACTGGGCTATCTATCGTTTAATCCTGTTTTTTGGTTAGAAGAGAAGATCAAAGAAATCGTCAATGAAAGAAAGGATTTACAGGTAACTCAAGCATGACAAGGAAAGAAACAATTTAGACCTGTATACTGTCAATTATTTATAAAGGAACCAAATGATACGAAATAAACTCTGTATTCAGATCATATCGAATAATTTTTTTTAAAAAAGTCCTTTGATTATTTTCAGGTAAATAAAGTTGACCTTCTCCACTTGATGTTGAACTCCGAGTATGACCCTAACACTGGTATCGAGGAGTTAGACGCAGCAAATAAGATGGTTAGGAAGAGACTTCTGACTACGGAGGTAATTACGATTTGATTCATAAACAAGGCAATAGAACGCTTGAATATTGGGTTTAGAATGTCTGCTATCATTGGTTTATATAATTCAGTTTATTCTTGTTTCGAAAAAAGCTGAAAATGTATGTGTCTATTGCATGTATATATGTCATTTGTTTTGGTTTCCAGGAGCTGACAGCCCAATCTCTCCTGTTCCTGTTGGCAGGGTATGAGACAACTAGCACTACCCTCGCGTATATTGTATACGAAATGGCTGTCAATCAGAAAGTACAGACAACACTCCAGGAGGAAATAGACAGATATTTTCCTGACCAGGTACTAAAAACCACGTACATAGATATTCCTTTGAAAACATATTGAAACATTATAACTTGAATTTTGTTTTACATATTATAAATTATTTTAAGAAAACATGCTGTAGTATCTATCAATATTTGCGAAGTGTATTGTTTTCAATAAATACACGAATCATTGATTTAATAACACGACAATTTAAGAAATTTATCAGTTATAAGCCAAAACAAACGCATATGTTCATTGGTAACACTGTTCGTTCATACAGGCAGACAATCCGAGCTATGATGCCATCCAACGAATGGAGTATCTCGACATGGTTTGGTGTGAAACTCTTAGAAAATGCCCCCTTGCTAGCACGTAAGTACACATTAAGCGTTTGAATAACATCCTTATCTTATTTCATTATTACACACTAAATGTATATGAAAACAACAAAAAATAACAACATGTGAAATCCAATTTGAACCTATTAGTTAAATCAATAATGAGATAAATTAGTGAACTTATACATCTCCTACTCTATTAGTTACACACATTTGAAATCAAGTAATTGTTAATTGATTCCAATACAGTGTTGTTGCCCGTGAATGCATGGAGAATTGCATAATTGAGGGTATCAAGTTAACCAAAGGGATGCTTATACATGCTAATGTTTGGGCTCTTCACTATAATGCGGAGCTGTGGGGAGAGGATCCGGATCAATTTGTGCCCGAAAGGTAAAACAAAGATTTTATTATTTATGATTATATTGCATGATTTCGTATTTAAAACTTTCTTTGTATTTCAATGGTGTCTTTTCTTTCTTTTCCTTTTCCGCCTACCTCTTTCAGACATAATTTTCTGCATACACAAAGACTCAATAATAGGGCATAACAAGGTATGCACCTTATTGGAACTGAAGAGTAACATATTAGATAGTTCTTTGTATTCATGTGTTCAACCTACATGTATTTCGTTTGAGATTTTAATGTCTTCATAATTCAATTGTTGTCTCGTCGCTGTCACGATGGGTGTCATTAGTCGTCACGCCTGACTACACACATCGCTCTGATCCTCTACGGTCGCTTTAACGCCGACACTGTTATATGATTGGCAGTCTAAATTCTTATTCAAATTTCTATTGTCGATTTGCTTTTTTATTTTCAAAAGAACACCTAATATTTGAACTGCAGATGATTATTTCTTTCATTGTTTAGAAAGGTGTATCGATATACACTACAGACAATCATTCTCACTCTTGTATTCTGCAGCTACTGTTAACAACAAAATCATTCATTATTGTACATATCTTTAAAGGTTTTATATTTAACTGTCCAGCATTTGCTGCTGAAAATCGGTGAACGGCAACTTTTTGCGACTATTAGCTATTCATTGTTAAGAATTATTCAAACACGAACGCGAATGATATGCCAAAGGTAAAATGTCAAGCCATATCATATAATATATTAAAACATTCCGTAAACAACGTATACAGTTTATGGAACTGCACACAAAATGATTTATTATGAAACAAGACAGTCATAACAACTTTTCAAATAGATCTCTGATTTCTTTAACAGGTTTTCAGCCGAAAGAAAGAGGAAGAGAAATCCAATGGCTTGGATGCCCTTTGGGAGTGGACCTCGAGCATGTGTGGGTCTCCGATTGGCCCAATTACAAGGGAAAATGGCAATGATTAGACTATTTAAGAATTACAGAATTGTACCGTCCGAGAAGCTCTCAATCCCTTTGAAGTATGTTGAGGGAGCTACAATCATACCTAAAAACGGCGTGCCTATAAAGGTGTATAGACGTAACATTGATGACAGCAGAGGAACTTAAAAAGGCAAATGTATGTGAAAAGGAAATCGTAAAAGAAATCAGTTCTGATTCAACACCCGACCAAGGGTTATCACATCCTATCAGTAGCAGTGATCGTGCAATAGTTCCTCGGAACGACATCCAGTGGCGATGAGGCAGTGGTTAGAAACTCAGAACTAATCACGTACACATGTGAACTCCGTGACTCTACAATATGCTCATGAATTATCGTGTCACTGACTTACACAATCATGATGCATTATCGAGCCCAGCATATGGAATTCACGAAACTGTACTGTTTTGAATGTTAATGCGGAATACCTATGAAGTTTACCGTGTTTCATAACATGTAAACATGAGACATTCAAACATGTACTACGTGCATACAGTATTCACCTGATTAATATAAAACCCAGTCTTACACGTTTACCCGATGCTCTGAATGAAACAAAGGGACAGAATGAGATATCGTGATACCGTACAGATGATTTCCACGTACACTAGTGACCATTTTGCATTGAAACGGGACAGGAGGTATTACAAATATGATATGTTTAGCTAGCTAATGCTTCGACTGATCAGTGCAGCAAATGTTTTCCCTTGATTTTGTTCTGGTGCCTTTTTGTATCTTTGTTTTATGTTGTCAGTTAAAAGGTGTATACGTTAATGGTTGATTTTAGTGGATACCAGTTGTTATATTGTGCTTGCGGCCGCATCAAGTTGAAATACTTTGCATGAAGTCAGATTCAATTGGTTGATAATAGTGGATACAATGTGATATATTGTTTGTATTGTCGTGTTTAACCTGTTTATATAGCAGATACAAGTTGGTATGTTGTAGATACAGGCGTATCCAAATTGTGGCCGTGGACAACCTGATGGATTTAGTAGATATACGTTGCTACATTATGTGTACATGAGAATATAACTTGTTGATATTACTGGATACAAGTTGAAATGTTGTGTTTATAGCTATGCCCAGCTTGTTTACAATAGATAGAAGTTGATATATTGTGGGTTTAGTCGTACCCAACTTGTTGACATTAGATGATACAAGTGGATATATAATTTGGGTATAGCCGTATCTAGCTTTTTGGTAATAACGGATATAAGTTGATATAATTAGCTGTACACAACTTGTTGGAATAAGTGGATGCATCTTGATAAAACTTGTGTACAAACTTATCCAAGTTGAAGTTGATATTTTCTTGTATTGATAGGTAGTAGCAAGATTGTACGTGGTGTCTTATCTTGCCAGGTTGCCAGAGTTATCAGCTGTTGTGTGAAAGAGAACCATTATACCCTCAGTTATGCTCAATATGGTACTTCAATTATATCGTTTGTTTCCGAAGGCAAAATTCAACAGAATTAATATTCATCTCAAAACTAATAAGGATTTACCACTGAAAAACGTACCAATTGTCTGTTTTTCTTCACTTTGTAATCGATTTAACAGAATCAATATTTGACTTTATTATGGCATTAATTGCCATCCATGTTAGCAGCTGCCAAAGCACTCATATTATTTTGTCAATCAGGGAGTCGAAAGAGAAGATAATTATTTCAAATTCATTCAATGAATATTACGACGTACATTCTTGTATGTTTATCCAAATAATGTTAAAGTGTAAATATCATACAAGTCGATGTTGTCATTTCATTTATTCCATTTCTCGTGTATAAAGATATTTTTTTCTATCTCATAGCATGTAGTCATAAATCATTGCATTATGTATTATCCTACATACGTTTGTTCAAAATGTTCCTATTTAAAATCAAATGTTGCATTCCTCGTTACAAAATGTGAGTGTATTTATTAATTTATTTATTGGTTAATTTATTATTCTGAGTCGATCATGATATGATATGTTACATAAAATGCTACTAGTCTTTCAATTGTTATAAAACTTATATATTAAAATATATTGTATCAATGGTGAACATTTGTTGTGTATTATTTTTGATATATAGAAATGGCTCAACTAAACATTTATTTATTTTGAAATACAGGTTCAAAAGACAATGTATGCCAAACATATACCAAGGACTGAAGTACTGACAGGATAGAATTCCTAGTTATATATAGGAGAATTCTATTGACTCAAAGAGGGTTCAGAAACAGGCTACTGCAAACAAATATAAACAGAAAAATGAATGAAAAATATTACTACTATAATTTTAAGATTTAGCTTTAAAAAATCATGTTATTGCTTCCTGAAAGAAAAGTCTTGATCTTATTTTCCAAAAATCCGGAAATGTACTGGTTGTATGGATAATACTTTGAGGTAATTAAAATACTGTTGAAACTTACCTCCAGAAATAGTATCTAGTTATACAGAAAAGATGATACTGAAACGGTGTATCTACACATTGTGTGTATTTATCGTTGACAACTTTTTTTCAGACAAGTGTCAGATTTAGTTATTGTAAAAGGATGGATTAAATTCGACTAATAATGAAGATGCATATTAACAGTTTAAGATGTTTATTTATTATAATGTCATGTACAGCACAATACTACTGTTGACTATCATCAACGACAACATTTAACTACAGCTAACGACAAATACTGAAACAAAGAAATACATGCACAAACCATTGACGGAGAAAATAGGATATACAATTAAAAAACACTACTCAAAAACACTGCAGATCAAGAAATGTTGTAGCAGTAGCTAAAATCACTTAAACAAGGTGTATAGGTGAATGTTGTATTTTATAATCATGCTGCTATTGTAAAGTTGTTATACTATAACTGATGTGGATTGTATTATCACATTTTAACAATGCTACATTGGATTACGTTACATCAGATTAAAAGTCCATACCACTTGTACATGGTGCTATCATAACAATGAAAATGTTTTAATATATTTTTATATTTCCATAAAGATTAAAACACAAAGGTTTCGTATTACAACATAATCAACAGACGCTGGTAGGTGAAGGAGGCACACTGATCTAAGTATAGCTAATGGAGACACACTGTTCTAAGTATAGGTGAAGGAGGCACACTGAAGGAGGCACACTGATCTAAGAATAGCTAATGGAGACACACTGATCTAAGTATAGGTGAATGAGGCACAATGATCTAAGTATAGCTAATGGAGACACACTGATCTAAGTATAGGTAATGGAGGCACACTGATCTAAGTATAGGTGAAGGAGGCACACTGATCTAAGTATAGGTGAAGGAGGCACACTGATCTAAGTATAGGTAATGGAGACACACTGATCTAAGTATAGGTGAAGGAGGCACACTGATCTAAGTATAGGTGATGGACACACTGATATAAGAATAGGTAATGGAGACACACTGATCTAAGTATAGGTAATAGAGACACACTGATCTAAGTATAAGTAATGGAGGCACACTGATCTAGTATAGGTGAAGGAGGCACACTGATCTAAGTATAGGTAATGGAGACACACTGATCTAAGTATAGGTAATGGAGACACACTGATCTAAGTATAGGTAATGGAGACACACTGATCTAAGTATAGGTGAAGGAGGCACACTGATCTAAGTATAGGTAATGGAGACACACTGATCTAAGTATAGGTGATGAAGGCACACTGATCTAAGTATAGGTGATGAAGGCACACTGATTTAAGTATAGGTGATGGAAACACACTGGTCTAAGTATAAATGATGAAGGCACACTGATCTAAGTATAGGTGATGGAGACACACTGATCTAAGTATAGGTGATGGAGACACACTGATCTAAGTATAGGTGATGGAGACACACTGATCAAAGTATAGTTGATGGAGACACACTGATCAAAGTATAGGTGATGGAGACACACTGATCTAAGTATAGGTGATGAAGGCACACTGATCTAAGTTAAAGTGATGGAGACACACTGATCAAAGTATAGGTGATAGAGACAAGCTTTTTTAAGTATAGGTAACGGAGACACGCTTATCTTAAGTGATGAAGGCCTCCCGATTGTTGGTATTACAGATTACATCCTTTTAAGGTTTCTATGTTAATTCTGATTAAACACATTTAATTTGAAATGAAAATAGACGATACACACAATATACTGATAAGGATCAAGGATAGCAACAATCACTGACAGGGTGTTATCATAATGATGTTTTTTGATAGATATGGTCTCCCACATAGACATTGAATCATTGATGTTAATGTATGCTTTTGAGATGTACGTTTAAAGAACAGATACACACAATGGTCGGTTTGCAAAAGTGGTAAGTGTAGGCTGCCGGCTTGTGTACTTTGTGTGGCTTAGGTTTCATTAACGATTTCTTAGAAAGCATCTTGAAAATATATAGACTATAAATTCATTAAAACAATGTTTTATTGTTTACATCTACATTACCTGAAATATTTTGCGCAACATAAATGAGGTATCCGTTTGTATTGTGCAAAACTCCAACTTATAGAATGGTATATATATATATTATATTGCTGCTGAATGTTTTGTTCAGCTCTACTGAATATTGGGTGTTTTACCTGAGCACATATATATATTGCCCATTCTGCAGCTTGTCGTCAATTTTCACGAGTATGCTCACTTTTAGAACGTTAAACTTCATAAAAAATTGATTGGTTAGAAAAACACGTGACAACGGCATAGTTAACTTTATGGTAAAGATATCAACTTCGCTGGATTATGGCTGAATATGTGTAAATTTTCTACATGCATTATATGCTTCAGCTTTTAAAATATAAATTCTTGTAAAATTGGTAAGGTTAATACACATTTTTATGAACATAAAGTTTTATGTGTGAAATAGGATCACACCCATATCTGTATATATATCGGGTTTTATGTTTCACAATAAAAGTGTCATTCGTTAACTGTTTATGTCTTTCCACTACATTGCTCCTGTCAGACACTTTTCAGTCAACAATATCAATCGATGATGGAGGGTGTCGTCGATGGAAGAAAGACGCTTACTCTTTCGAGACACCTGGTCTTGTTTCCTTGAACTATTTCATGAGCCTCCAGGTTATTTGTTTTTTAATGTTTTGGTGTAATAGAGTTTAGATT